TTTATCTGCAGTTCTTTCTCCTGTACTGCCCCCTAAAATACACAGATTCACACCAAGCAACATACTGATACATCACCTGACTTTAAGAGGTTATACTGCAGCTGCAGGCATCATTCTAGTATTGTTTTTCTCATCCAGTGGTAGGCGTTGTTGTAAAAGCAATTCTAGTGGCTAATTAGGTGCTGGATTGCTTTTACAAGTGGTGGAAGGAGACAGCCTTCTCGAGCTCTCCTATCCCACAGTGAAAGCTGTGTGTGCAGCTAGCAATTCCTCAGTCTGACCACAGAGCTGATTGGGGGACCGAAATGGCCCTGGTCATCTTTTTGTTCTGAGAAGCTTGAAGAGATGAGTATGTCATCACCAGGTGTCAACAAAGCCATTTTTGGCTTTGGAAAGCATCTGATCACTCCAATCTTGCTGGTCTAATAGACCCCAGATTTCTCAGTAAAGAGTACCTGTCACTGCCTATTGCTATCTTAAGGGGTGTTTACAATAACAAAATTAAAGAGACAGCGTAAAATAAAGTATAATAAATACAAAAACATTTTTAAAGTACCCCCACCTGCTTGTGTGGCAATGGGAACGTATGTGTCTGTTCCACATCAGTACCTAAAAAGTAATCGCACCACACATGTGAGGTATCACTGCGAACATCAGATCAACAGCAATAATTTTAGCACCAGACCTCCTGTGCAAATCTAAACAGGTAACCTGTAAAGTCCTTTAAAGCGTTGCCTAAGGAAAATAATATGTACCTAGGGTTTCGCCGCTGCGTGGGTGTGCGCTATCTTAAAGCTTGACATGTTTGGTATATATTTACTTTGTGTAACATCATATTTTATATTTTACCAAACAATTGGGTATTATATTGTGTTTTTATGCATTATTATAATGTATTTCTTCCAAAAGAAAATTGCATTTGAAAAATTGTTGTGCAAATACTGTGTGACATAAAAAATTGCAAAACCCATTATTTAATTCTCTAGGGCCTCTGCTTTAAAAAAAGATATAATGTTTGGGATTTTAAATAATTTTCTTCCAAAAAAATACTGGCTTTAAATGTAAAAAATGTTCAAAAATAGGCCCGGTTTTGAAGTGGTTAACTACCCTTTCTTGCCCCTCCTATGACTGCTATATCACTGATCTTCACTGCATAAGCAATGAAAGTGTACAAAGCAAAACAAATCCCTGATCACTTCCACAGAGCAGTACAGTGTTACTATGGTGACACTGAGCTACTCTGATGATGGTGTAAAATATTTAAAAACTTTTTTTTAAGTTTAAAAAAATAAAAAAAGTTGAAAAAATTTAATAAAAATATATTAAAAACTTGTTTGTTCTTTTTTTTTTTTTTACATACTGTCACCAGTCAGTATTCCTGATCACCGCCACATCAGTCATATGATGACACTGTACTGTGCTTGTGACAGTATTTGAAAAACATTTTTTTTTTTAGTTCTTCATTTTCGAAAAAATTGTGACAAAAAAAAATTACAAATTCAAAAAACTCACCAATCCACTTATTAAACACTTCAGACTGTCTAGTTTTCAATAACGGGGTCATTTGGGTGGCAATTGTACTGTCCTTTTTTAGAGCCAAACAAATGATCAATATTCAAATATATATATATACACCATAGTTTGTAGACACTATAACTTTCACAAAAAAAAATAATAATATACACTTATTGGGATTTTTTTTACCAAAGACATTTTGCAGAATACATTTTGTCCTAAATTTTTGAAGAAATTTGATTTTATTGGATATGTTTTATAGCAGAAAGTAGAAAATATTGGCTTTTTTCAAAATTCAATGGAGATCAATTCCCACCAAAAGAAAGCTCTATTGCTGTGAAAAGGTGATATAAATTTAATTTGGGTATAGTGGTGCATGACTGTGCAATTGCCAGTTAAAGTAGTGCCAAAAAAAAGAAATGGCCTGTTCATGAAGGGGATAAAACCTTCCTGGAGCTCAAGTGGCTAGGAAGAAAAGTGTGTTTTTGCATCTTGGAATATAGAGGGGTTACAATAACCTTTCATGGCAGCTTTACGGGCTTCCTATATAGTAGAGATCTGTTTATTACATTACCCAAAAAGTAGTTTTGTATATTAGCTGTTAAGCTATCCAAAAACTAATAGATTTCTGCTGTCTGAATGAAGAACATGGATGGATGAATCCCTATACCATGCTATTGTATTCAGTGCCAGCAGTGGACTAGCTGCAGGTGCTGTTCCACTGAAAATTTTCAGGCCGACTCCATGAGTAATTGAGAAATTTACTTTTGTCAAGACAGTAGGGCCACCCATTGTTAGAGTTTTGGTGAATTTTTCTGAATTGGTCGAAATTCTAACCATGTATAGTCAAATTTAGAGAACGTTTAGTCGATTCACATTTTTAGGGGAATACATTAAGCAGTGACAATTTCTAAGAAGGGTTGCATTAGAATGGATGGCAAAAGATACAAAGACATGGTCTGACAAACTAATTGGGAGAAGGGAGAATTGTAAGTAATTCTTCAGATTAGGATATCAACTATAAAGTCATCAATTCTGGTATTGGTTTTGTGAACATTAGAGAAGAAAGTTACTGTCTGTAGGGTGTTTGACCCATCAAATACTGTAGAGGCCATGCCTTCTGATGAAGCTGTTGGGAGGGACAGGTGGTAAAAGTTGGAAGATGGGATTAAGAATTCAAGGCTTCATTGCACATTGGAGAGTTTGAAAGTTGAAATTACCTCTGATAAAGAGTAAAAGGCATTTAAATTGGAATAGTTGAAGAAAGCTCCTTTTAAGAAATTGGATTTGCTTATTGTTGATAGTGTATATGTTACACAGTGTGACCTCTGTAAGACGGAGTAGTATGAGATGTCTGCCAATATCCTCTGCACCTAGATTAAATAGGCAAAATTGAGTCTTGTCAGAGATGAGTATTACCACACCTGCAGATTTTCTATGATTTGAGGCTAGGTTCTTTGTGGAAAACATCTAGTGGACCATTCCCATCAAAATATGTTTGCATAAATACTGTATGGAAGTCTGCAATCATTTACATTTCTAGAGTGCTAGTTTACATTTCAAAATTGGAACTTGACTTTTTTTTTCTGTTAATATTGTACATTTTTATTAAGGGCCAGTGCACATTTTTTCTTAAAACAGAACATAGTATTAACAACAACACTTTAAGTGTAAATGTTGCAATGAAAGAAAGCCATCATTAGTATAAAAGAAAACAAAATCAGGAGAAATATGAACACATAAATAAACAGCATGGTAATTTGCACAATTCAAAAACATAAATCAAAAACATAAATTGACATAAACCTGCAGATCATTGTAAACCTGCAGATTACATTATTTGTCAAAGGCATGTTACCAGGAAAGTGTCTGGACTATATAAGGGGGTGGAGGGGGGAGGGGGAGAGGAATGAAGTCTACTAAAGGGAGAATGATCCCATGGCTCCCAAATAGAGTGAAAGTGACCTGAGTGTTCACCCACTAGAGCTGTAAGATATTCCATTTCCCTGATTTCAGAGATCGTTCTTAAAAGATGATTTAGCGTGGGAGCATCAACTGATTTCCAGAGTCATGGCATCACCCTTCTAGCAGCCATTAGGGTATGCACTCCCAACCTCCTAGATTGCTTGGAGATACCCCTAAAGGGTAGCCCCAAAAGATAGTGTAGGGGTCTAGGGGTAGGATGACATTGAGTACTTGTTCCAATACCTTTCTAACCATAGCCCAATAACCCGCAATCTGTGGACAAAACCAAAAGATGTGTGCCAAGGTACCTACTCCTCTCATGCACCTCCAGCACTTGTCAGACAGATTCGGGTTAATCGCATGAAGCACTACAGGGGTCTTGTACCAATGCATCAAAATTTTATATAAGTTTTCTTTATACACAATGCAACTAGAGGTCTTAGCAACAGAATCCCAAATCACCTGCCAACATTTCAAAGAGATTGAGCATTGGAGCTCATCCTCCCATCTCTTCATAGAACAGTGAGGCCTCTCAACAAGAGAGTCTTTATTGAGACATAGTGTATATAAAGAGGTGATAAAATGTTGTTGGGAGGGGCCTTTAACAGCTATCCTCTTGAAATCTGTGGGGCGATCTAGCGTTAAAGAGGAATTTAAGAATGGAAAGAATGAAGGAACTGTAAATAGGTATATCTGGCTGATGCAAGTATTGTAGATTTCCACGCCCTAATCTCCTCAAATGACCAAATCCTGTGCGAGGCCGGATTGATCAAATGACGGAGTTGAAATATCCCATTAAATGCCCAAGGGCTCTTCTGTGGGTAGGACAGACTATACGGGAGCTCTGGATTATATAAAATGTTTAACAATGGAGAGTACACGGACAGTAACTGCTGAGATTTCACACAAGTTGACCAAACTTTGAGGGTAAATTTCATAGATTCAAGCAAAGTGTGTGCGTGGGGGGGGGGGGATAGAGGCGATGTATAATGAAAAGGGCGTAAAAGTAACATGTGGATCAGATAAATATAGCCTAATTCAATCTTCGTCCATCTATTCTGAGGTTTTTGGGTGAACCATGATAGCATTTGTCTCAGATGAGTAGCTAGATAGTAATTGGTAATATCTGTTACCCCTATGCCTCTGTTATTTCTAAATGACAAAAGAACCTTCTCACTATTCTGGGCTTTCTAGCATGCCAAATAAATCTAAGAAATGCTCATTGTAGAGTTTGCAGTTGAGCATGAGGGATCGAGATTGGTAGAGTTTCAAAAAGGTAAGTAGCTTCGGCAAAACTTACATCTTTAACCACTAGCCTACAGGGCACTTATACCCCCTTCCTGCCCAGGCCAATTCCCAGCTTTCAGCGCTGTTACACTTTGAATGGCAATTGCACGGTCATGCAACCCTGTACCAATATTAAATTTTTATAATTTTTTTGTGACAGATAGAGCTTTATTTTGGTGGTATTTAATAACCTCTGGGTTTTTTTATTTTTTCTTAAACAAACCAAAAACCACAGAAAATTTTGAAAAAAAAAAGTTTTCTTAGTTTTTGTTATAAAATGTTGTAAATAAGTGATTTTTCTCCTTCACTGATGTGCGCTAATGAGGCTGTAGTGATGGGCACTGATAGGCTGCACTGATGGACACTGATAGGTGGCATTGGTAGGTGGCACTGATGGGCATTGACAGGCATTACTGATGGGCACTGAAAGGCAGCACTCATATATGGCACTGATAGGCGGCACTGATGCACACTGATAGGCAGCACTGACTGGCACTAATAGGCGGCACTGATTGGCAGCACTGATAGGTGGCACTGACTGGCATTGATAGGTGGCACTGACTGGCACTGATGGGTGACACTGAAAGGCAGCTCATATGGGCACTGATATGTGGCATTGATGTGGCACTGATGGGCACTGGCAGGTGGCATGGATGAGCACTGACAGCTGGCACTGATGACCACTGACAGGTGGCACTGCTGGGGCTACACAGATCATCAGGGCACACTGATAATCAGTGCTCTGATGATCTGTGTACATGTCCCCTCTGAGGAATGCCGATTACCGGCTCTCCTCTCCTCACGAGCTGTCAGCGTGACAACTCCTGAGGAGAAAAAAGACGATAACCGGCATTTCCCTGTTTACATGTGATCAGCTGTGATTGGGCACAGCTGATCACATGACCGAGCCGACATCTTCGGCTCTTTCCGTTGATCGGTGATCTGCTGTGTCCGAGGGACACAGCGCACCACGATCGCCATGCTGCGTGCTCCCGGAGCCGAGCATGCGCGGTTAGAATGGGAGGGCGTCATATGACGTCCTCCCAGAACGAGAAAACTGCCTTGCGCCCATCATTGAACTATATGGTGGGTGGGAGGCGGTTAAAACATTTACTCTACCCAGGAAAGATATCTTATAAGAATCCCACTGATTTAGAAGAGCATAAATTTCCTGAAATAGTGGTGGGTAGCTAGCTTCAAACAATTGAGCATAAGTTGGGTTTATATGGATACCAAGGTATTTAATAGATGACATGCACCAGTGACATGAGTAATTTTGTTGGAGCAGTGAGAGATCTTGGGATGGGATATTAAGGGGCATAGCGTTTATTTTATAACCGGATAAATCACTAAAGGTTTGTAAAAGTTAATGCAGTTAAGGTAATGATAAGTGAGGCTTAATTATAGTCAATAAAACTTAATCTGCAAAAAGTGAGAGTTTATATTCCTTCCCCCGCACATTCACTCCTGCTATGTCAGGGTGTGGTCTGATCGCTACTGCTAATGGTTCAAGACATAACACAAATAAAAGTGGGGAGAGAGGGCAACCTTGTCTAGTTCCGTTAAGCATGGGAAATGTATCGGATGTGGCATAGGGGAGCTTGACCTGTGTGGTAGGCCGTGAATACAGCACCACAATAGCATTAAATAATCTCCCTTTTATTCCCACATGTCATAGTAATTCAAACATATAAGGCCATCCCAACCGGTCAAATGCCTTCTGGGCTTCTAAACTTAGTAATAGTGCCGGCGTTCCTGAGCCATGAAATACATCATCTAAGTTGATCGTACGCCTAGTGTTGTCCCCTGCCTATCTCGCTAAGACAAATCCCACATGATTGTTATGATTAATTCTGGGAAGCAAAGGAACCAAAGAGTTTCATAAAATTTTATAATCCTTGTTTATTAATGCTATGGGCCTGTAGTTAGTTGGGATCATTAGTTTTTTGATTGGTTTGGGAATGACTGGGATATGAAAATGTTGAAATTGCGATTGGAGTGTTTCTCTGTGCAGCAGAGAGGGGTAAAATTCCAACAAAGCAGGGCCTATATCTGTGATGAATTGTTTGTCCCGGCGCTTTGTGTTACAGTAGCTCATTAACAACTGCAAATAGTTCCTCCATAGTAATAGGTGTGTTTTAGGATTAATCTTTCTTCCCTTTTCAATTTAGGGAGATGAAGAGCTGAGACAAAAGTGTCAAAGGAATCTTTATGGAAAGGGGGGTGTATGTCTGGTGATAAACAGTTATAAAGCTTACGATAGAAGTTTCCGAACACGTGGGCTATCTGTTGGGGGCAAAAAGTAGGGGTGCCATCTGCTTCAAACAAAAATTCAGGAGCGGAAGTGGTTGAATGTGCTTTCAGTTTATAAAACAAAATCCTATGAGGTTTATTAGTGTATTGATAGAACTTCAGTTTCATCCATAGCAGTTTCTTTGCTATAGAACTAGCTTCAAGTGTCTTAAGTTGATCTTTAAGTTGTACCACTAAACGAAGTTTAGGCAAAGAGGGCTAATCTGTAGGTTTTTTTTCCACTTGAGATAGTTGATTCATAAAAGTCAGTTTTCTGGTGCAGCAAGGAGTTCTTAAGACATGAGCTTTCCATTATAAAGCAACCTCTAATAAACACTTTGTGGGCTTCCCACAGAGTTGAGGATGCTGACACAGATCCTGTATCAAGTTAAAAAAATTCATGCAATGCTTTGGAAATGGAAGAGCTGACATCTGCATGACGTAAAAGTGTGTCATTTAGGTGCCAATGGCAAGTGCGAGAATGTGGTCGATGTAGAAACAGATCTAAGGCCAGAAAAGAGTGATCTGACCAGGAGCTGGGGACAATATCGGAGCTAACTGTCTATTTAGGTAGGGGGATGAAAGCAATAAGTAATCCAGTCTGGTGTAGATGTAGTGCACTGTAGAGAAGAACAAAAACTGTTTAGCACTCAGATGTTGTATTCTCCAAATATCAAACAGCTTATGTCCTCTGATCCATTGACAGAAAGATGTAGACTGTTTCAAAACATGTTTTGAGGGCAATTGGCTCCAAAGGGATCTCCTATTGCGTGAAGCTGATACGGAGAAGTTAAAGTCTCCGCCAATTATCTTGAAAGGGTGTGAGGAATCTAAAAGTGGAGAGGTAGTATCTTTAAAGAACACCAATTGATTAGCATTTGGAGCATACACATTAATGTTTGTAATATAGACATCACCATATTGACATTGCAGTAGTATAAATCTGCCTTGTGTGTCTAGTACTGAGGATACCACCCAGATAGGACAGCCTTTTTTAATGAGAATAGCGACAGCTGCTTTACCTGTGCCATCCATAGTGGAGTATGCTATAGGAAAATACCTGAGGGCAAAGTTAAATGAGCTTCTCTTTTTGAAATGTGTTTCCTGGATAGGGATAATATCAGCCTTAGACTGACGGAATTCCCTAAGAGCTATCGACCTCTTCCTCATTGAATTTAAACCTTTAACATTACAAAAGTATAGTCATAAAGACATATTGGTGTAATCTGAACAATAAGCAAATGTATGCAGGGTAATATGACAAATAAACCATGCTGTTCCAACAAAAAATAACACAGAAATGATTGGCTGAGAGACACATCCAGTGCATCGAAACAAAACTAGCAGACATAGAACAGATAAATCAAGAAAGGATTTGCAAACATAATATGAGACCAAAATATGGAGGAGGCCTGAGCAGCCTAGGCCACCCAGGCATCTACAGTAATAGCTGTAGATATTTGGGGACGACATCGGGAGGGTGAAGGTCAGGCACTGACTTCACTACTCTCTTCCAAAATAAACAGCAACTAACAGGACATTATCTGAAAAGATCCCGATGGTGTGTCGGATTTATCCGTGCAAGACATATCAATAGACGTTAGGTCTTAAGTAACTTCACCTACGTTTTGCATGACGTTATCAGGTGACACAAGATAATAGGGGAGCAGGAGACCTTTGAGGAATCGGTAGGCGTTTCTTGTTTTTGGATCTTGCTGGTGTCCACATCTTGTTAGGAGTATTGGCTGTTCTTGGTTTACTTCAGGCCATCCTGAACTCAGCGGCTAGACTCATCCACCTCACCAACCGCTCCACCTCTACCACCCCCCTCTGCCTCTCCCTCCACTGGCTCCCGATTGCCCAACACATCAAATTTAAACTTATAACCCTGACCTACAAAGCCGTTCACAACACTGCCCCTGACTACCTCACCAACCTGATCCCCAAGTACCGCCCTACCCGTACCCTTCGCTCCTCACAGGACCTCCTATCCTGCTCCCTGGTCTCCTCCTCCCATGCACGACTGCAAGACTTCTCCAGGTCCTCCCCCATCCTCTGGAACTCACTGCCCCAATCCATCAGACTGTCGCCTTCCCTCCTCACATTCAGGCGCTCCCTCAAAACCCATCTCTTCAGGGAAGCCTACCCCACCCTCACCTAACGGCCATTCTCCCTCATTCCTCCCACCACTTCATTCCCCTCAGCCACTTCCTACCGTACCACTACCCCCTCCCTCCTAGATTGTAAGCTCGAAAGAGTAGGGCCCTCTTACCCCTCGTACGTTGTTTGTTATTGTTGTACTGTGCCATGTATTGTCCCCCCTATATTGTACAGCGCTGATCAAACCCTTTGGCGCTATATAAACTCGACGTAATAATAATACATAGGGGTAATGCTAAGGCTTCATCCGGGAGAGGAGGTAGGCCCAGATTACGCAGAAACTCCTCTCCATTTGAAGATCTCTAATTGTGTGTTGAGTACCATCCTTGGTTACTGTTAATCTAAACCGAAAGCCCCATCTGTATATAATTCGATGCTTCTGAAGGTGGAGAGTAAGTGGGCATCTATTAGACAATGTGATAGGGGACAGATCACTATAGATTTGCATTTTTCCCCTCTAAAATCAACTGAGGCAGTGTTACGTGTGGAATTCAGCAAAAGACTCCTTGCTATCGTAGTAATGAAACTGGACAATGATGTTTCTTGGTCTCGCGCCCAGTGTCGGCTTCAGTGCAAGAGAGCGGTGGGCTCTGTCCATTCGCCAATCTATGTCTAGAACCGCTGGGGCCAATGCAGTGAACAGGCCTCACAGATAATCTTGTAGATCAGCTTCCCCTACAGATTCTGGGACACCGCGTATTCGGATGTTCTGTCTCAGCTCCCTATTCTCCAAATCTTCTTGTAGGGATTGTAACTGGGACATCTGTTTTAAAATGTGGTTATCTTCCTCTAGTACATGTACATACTGCACCAGATCATCAAATTTGGTTTCTAGGTGGTCTGTACGTTCCTCCACCAATGCTATCTCCCATCTGAATTCCTGTGCTATTTTCCCCATTGTCACAGATATAGTATCGGTCAGACTTTGCAAAAGGCTGTGTACCTTATCATCCAGAATGTCTGCTGTAAGATATGGGAGAGGGGAAGGGGGAGACCAAGCAGAGTAGTGTGTTACCTCCGCCTCACGGCCCAGCCAATCATCCGGTTCTGCCATTGGGGTTGCGTGATCACTTGAGGTCAGGGATGTGGCCCGCGACACATACCTATCCATATGTGTAGGTCGCAGCTGCTTGACGGGTGACGGAGGGTTCTTCTGACACCCGATGTTGCCCATTGGAGACTGCAGTGATCGCTGAGTCCAGTACTGATGCTCCTCTGTGGGTGTAGGCTGTCGTAAGCTCTGGAGGAGCTGGAAGAGAG